GTTTGTTNTTGTAGTGTAGTTGATATATAAAGTACAATTCCTGCTATATATTTGTAGTAAAGTTGTCAAAGAATCAGATATTTGGCAGACTTTTCTTATATATCTGACTTAAAAGTGGTTGCAAGGGTTTATAAAACCAAAAAAACAAACTGATCGGGTAAAATGGACTTCCATCATGATTTTACATATTCATAATGTGTTTATACAGCCTCCCTTAAGAAAAACACATTCCATACATGTTTTCAACCTGTATCTGTTGTCATTATCTGTCCAGCCTGTAACATCTCATCTATGCTAGCCAAGCGTTCAATTTGTATTCACATATTCATGTATTCAACCATAGCGGATTTAGCCTTGTTCTCTAAGCTTTCAAATTATGGAATCTTGCACAGGGACTTGGCACGAATTACCATCCTATGGTCCACATTTTTTTATCATACATTATATAATACACATATGTGAACTGAGGGTTAGAAATTAATACCATGTCCCTGTGCATGTAAATAATAATGGCGGCGCCCAGTACCAAGTTGCCTTGTCGACTATGTCATGAGTTATGTAAAAAAAAAACACAAAGGAGGACAATTACTTAAAGAAACATTGTATATGATCAGTTGGTAGAGATAATTGGCCATATTCTAACTGTAAATGATAACAAATGGAAATACATAGGCGACCAGTGCTGAAATAATCTTGAAAGTTTAAAGTTTTGCTAGTAAAGTGTCTATGCAAGGTGGCAGGGGAGGGGAATTAAACACAAGGCTAAATCTGCCAAGGTTGAATAGTACAAATTTAAATTATGAACCCTTGGCTATTGAAGATGGTGAGATAACGAGGTTCGATCGTAAAATAAGATGTGTCTTCAGCAGTATGCTCCAGTGAAATTACCCTATGAAGTATAAAGTCAGCATCAGTTCTGTTCTATCACAAGGAGACAAACATAAACATACCACAGACTCCCAAAACACAAATTAATTATGCATAAACTTACCACACACATGCATCTAGCAAATGGGGGAGGCCGTCCTTAAATGACCATGTATAGCTGTTGATAGGACGTACATTAAACAATACTAAATCAAACCTAAGTTTATTTTGACATAAAGATCTTATTTATTTGGATAATTTCATGGAAATGATGACTTGTTATTTTAAACAAATGATTTTCTAATTTCAGCGTGCATGCACTGTAGGAATGTTATTTGAATAACATTGTACCCATATGAATCCATGATTGTCGTGGAGTGGTGCTTTATTTGAATTTAATACATTTGATGCTCTATTACCTGACCTGGAACGCATTCGTAGCCATAACGAGACATATATATTGTGTACATAGTTTAAGCCTCTGCGAGACCAGCTGTTCTAACTTACAAACGTCCATGTGACGAGAAAGAACATGCGAGGAATGTTTTTGACTTTTGACAGGAGCTGTAGGCAATTCACACTTTTCAATTTGTACTATTCTTCTTTTTGGATAACGACGCTTTAACTTGTAAGCGAAAAATACATCACTTGCGTCACGAGCAGCATCAATACTAAAAACGTCATTTAATATTAACGGCTACCAAACCCGTCCTCCTGGTTACAAATAAACGCTATGTCCCAATCATCTGCCCTCTGGACTGGTTTTTAAGTAATTTTTTTTAATGCCAAATTTTGTAAAATATGATTATTTAGCCTCTTTATCTTAATCTTATCTTGTGATAAAATTTGTTGTTTGCCTTACATTGTTACAATGTTTTACCATTTATATATACTGTATATATATGTGTTTGTCGAAATACAAGCTCCTGAGAGCTTATGTTAACTATGACACATATTCAACGTAAAATAATGATTCTTGTATCTTGTGTTTTGAAGTAACATGCCAGTATGCTTTAATCCGATAATTTTAAGATAAAAAAACCCACACACAAGCTTTTAATCACGAACTTTTCCTAGAATGCGCCTATGTATAATCTTCGGCACGATGAAGGACACAAGGTATACTGTTGATGCCGACAGGTACAAATGTATGTAAACTGTAAAACAAAAGTAGGTCTGCGCGATCACAAACATTTAATGCTGATATTTTCGCATAAATGTCAGTTAGTACTTGATGTGATAGCAATGGATTAATTGAGTGTTACCTTGTGTTGTATTCTAGCACATCAGTGTCTCAATATAAACGGTATTAATCTGTTAATGTTTGATAGACGTCTGTTTATTATTACTGTCCTGATTATGTTGTGAGGTATTTCCGGGTCTCGTTCTCGTATCAAGTGCGCTTCCGGTTACGTCATAAAATGCAATTTTCAATTCACAAAATCTTGATATTTATTAATTAAATTAGTTTAAAGAATAAGCGAGTTAATAAAAACAATATCAATTCATTGTAAATATCCTTTTCTTGAATGTTTGTGAAGCAGACGACGTTTGATCATAATCTCCAAACTAGAACATTTTTTCAAAAAACATGTGTTTTAACATTTGAAAGAAAAAGGTTTGAAGGAGAAAAAATCAATTTGTTCTTTTATGAATTAATGAAAGTGATACAAAAAAGAAATATAGTAAATAATTGATAGTAAATTTATCAAAAACATCATCTTTAGAGAGTATATTCTGGGCATGATCGTTTAGAAGCTTTGCAATACTTCAAACTCTTTCAAACGCGCATCAGCTCGAGATTAGGCCCTGTTTACAAAATGGCGACTGGAAGTAGCAAGGCGGATTAAATTGAAACTTCAATTGTGATTATTTCGTCAAGGAAAACACTGTTCACAAAGCCCATGTGGTCTGTTAATCTAATTTAGTCAAGATGTACTAAGACCAGTCGTTGTTTAGTCGCTAGGGTCATTCACAAAAAAATAGTATTATCATATAAACTTATTGTAATTATTCCGCCGTCAAAAGTATCCGCGCTTAATCTCAGAAACTACTAATGGGATTCTTATCGTACTTTGTATATATTATCAGTACAATTTGTAGTTGTGCATCTGACTCTTATTTTTTCGCGTAAACCATCCAAGATGGCCGCCACTGCTCTGATTGGCCGAAATCATCTCCAGTTATAACATTCGTTTTATTTGACGGAACATAATGAAACTGAGTGGAAGGGATGATAACACCACACCGATCGTTTTCGACAAAAAATGTTTCACTTTGGATTCAAAAGGCGGACAAATGCAGGCTTCTGTTTGGTCCGAAATTTTGGCATCGTCCAATTTTTATCAAATTTGGTATGTTGGTGTAGTATAGCACAACGAACAAAACTGCGGTGTTTGTTTTGCGAAAAACAAACATGCTGCCATTTCCTGGGCTCTGATTAGTCAAAAATTCAACGCGAAATCATATCACCAATAATAACATTCGTTCTATTTCATCAAACATAATGAAACCCAGTGAAAGGGATTTTAACATCACAGCGCTCGTTTTCGACAAAAAAAAATTGACTTTGGATTCACAATGGCGGCCAAATGCATGCTTCTGATTGGTCAAAATTTTAATATTGTCTGATTTTCATGAAATTTGGTATGTAGATATATCTCAAAACACCGGTTACTTTCGTTACTTACCTTCACATTTCGACAAAATGGCTGCCATTTCCTGTTCTCTGATTGGTCGAAATTAAAATATCGTCTAATTTTAAAGAAAATTGGTATGTAGGTGTAGTAAGGCACTACGAACACAACTGCAGTGTTCGTTTTGTGAAAAAATCTAAACGGCTGCGTACTTAGCAGGGGAGAGTGACTTCCGCTATTGCTCGCAATTGCAATTCTAGTTATTATTATTATTCCTATTTCTTCAAATTTCTCAGCCGAAAAAGTTTCCAACATTTTTCTCGAAAACCGTAGGGCGTAATTCAACGAAACTTTACATAAGTGTTCGTGTATGACAGGCGGTGCGCAAGAGTATTTTTTGTTTTTCGATCAGTCAACTGGTCAGCCGGACGGCGGCCTCTGATTGGTCGAAATTTAAATATTGTTCGATTTTGATGAAAATTGGTATATAGGGATATTAGGAGACTGTGAAGTAAACCGCATAGATTTCGTTTTCATAGAACCCAAGCGAAGGCTTCTGATTGGTGGAAATTCAAATATTGTTCGATTTTGATGAAAATTAGTATATAGGGGTATGAGGGGGTTGCGAATTCAACCGCATAGGTATCGTTGCCATAGCAACCAAATGGAGGCTTCTGATTGTTTGAAATTGAGATATTTTTCGATTTTTATAAAATTTGGTTTATAGGGGTATTAGGGGACTGCGAATAAAACCGCATAAATTTCGTTACCATGCAACCACATGGAGGCTTATGATTGGTCGAAAGTTAGATAATGTTCGATTTTGATGAAAATTGGTATATAGGGATATTAGGAGACTGCGAAGTCAACCGCATGTGTTTCGTTACCATAGCAACCACACAGAGGATTATGATTGGTTGCAATTTAGAAATTGCTCAATTTCACTGAAATTTAGTATGTACATTGTAGGTGTACTACGACAATACGATCCTTTTCTGATGTATCTTTGCTAGTTTGGAGGACATCTGTAATGGTCCCCATTTGCAATTAGTACTTGTTAATTTAGAAGCCTGTTATTGATATGTATATTGATATATGTGTTCAAAATTTGTTTGCATTATTTATGTTAAAATACTTAACGGTACCTTACTGAGGCGGGATCAAAGACATTTGATTACAAATGTAGCTGTCCCAAAAAACTGAAAATTTCAAACCCAGAACACTGTTCACGGTATTTTTGATTGTATTTTGTTCATTTCATCTTTATTAATTCTCATGGAAGTCCCACAAACTTTGGTTTTCTTTTTAGAAATGAGTTATCAAAGCTATTGTCAAACAGTTTCTGGCAGAGGTACATGTACAAGGGTCTTCCACTATACTTTGTATGTTAGGACGCTATCCAGCTAATCTTTTTGCAAATTGATAAAAGGAATAAATATAGTTGATACTATGGTTTGTAGGGTTTTCTTTTGACATTGTGTCCTTGTTCTATTATAGACGGAGTCCGGATGTAGAGCTATTGGATGCAGATTTGACGTATACTCCGACTCGTGTGGCTACTTTCAGTTAAAACAGGCCTACTGGGAGGACTGTGGCAGGCCAGGAGGATGTGAGTCTAAATATAGACATTGCTGATATTTCAGATCAAAGAACACCCTCGACAAATATGTACAAGAACATTAGTTATAATGCGTTTGTGAAATATAGAGGTATGTGAATTGATAGACTTTTTTCAATTATTACCTGCTATATTCTACAAATATGACATTTAAAAATAACTACTAAAGAGTGCATGAAAGAAAATCAAAATCATAGTGCCATAGTGTTTTGTTTCGCATGAATCAAATTAATATCTTACATAAAGTATTGCAATAGTTATCTAATAAATATGACTTTTATTACACTATCTATAAATAAACTATAAACAGTCGTGTTTACATGATGTTACGAATAACACGAGTTTTCGTGTTGATGTATGCATCAAGGAATGGATGTGAAAGTCCGCGTTATAAACGAGAGTTATAACTCTCACGGTACTTAAGCGTTACTGACGCTTACATACTTATTTAATTAGTTATTTGAATCGGGGGCACATAACTGGTCAGTTCCTGTTAAATGAAATTATGGTTAGAAGGTACATCTTTATTATAAAAAGTGTTAAATCGGTAACGTAAATAATGTTTCATTTACGTGATATAACAACCTTTTATTTCGAACATATACACAAATCGATCTCAGAAATATCCAACATAATACATGTTGTTAAAGTAAGTGTTAAGACATGAACTGATTTATATTATTATTTTTGTTTACTTTTTACATTTTTTCGTTTATTAGCTCTTATTTCTTGTGCTGATGACATCCACTGTTCGTCCCAGTGTGTACAGCACTATATGAGCAGATACATAGGCCATACTTCGTGTTCCCGATCCTGTGAGAGCTATGCCCGGTTACACAATGGTGGTCCACATGGTTGTGAACATGACTCTACCTTAAGCTACTGGAGTCATGTACAGGGTCACGGCTGCTGAAGGTCGCAGTCATTAATGTTATGTATAAAGCTTAAATAAAACACTAAAATATTCATTCATCTTTTTATTAACTTTTTTTTTTATCGATCACATGGTGTAAGGGTATAGCAAATACTATGATGAATGATCCCCAAAGATGTAGTGTGGCTGTACCACGCGATGTTTCATCACAGTTTAACAGTGATGTGAAGCTGAGGAAAATGTGATCAAAGCTGTAATTAAGATACACAGATGAAACTTATATCACTAAAGTATACTTCCTCGTCGCTTGCAATGTTTAAGTAACTTTGTGAGTATTTCACAACGTCGTCATTGTGGCCGACCATAATAACAACATCTATGAAGTGTTATCAACAAACTCGTAGCCGATGATCGTTTTTGTTTTACAAAGTTACAATGATTTGACCTATGACCCCTTGCCATGAAGTCGATCTCTTTGATATGGACAACATGAATATGTTTCCCAACACTACATCTGATTTCTATGAAGTTTCATAAGAAAATGTCATTGCAATCAAAAATTATAATTCTTAAGGCATCACAATTATTAGACATTTGAACCTAAATCTTGACTTTAATGCGACAGACCCTCTCATTAAATGACACATTTGAACGAGGTTTGATGAGGAAATATTTAGAAATTCAAAAGATAATTTTAAGAAAATCATTGCAATATTAAACCTTTCACTCATTGTCCTGACTTTGATCTGTATGTTACGAATCCAATAGTACATATATAAATACAATCATTCTCACTATAAACACATTTCTATGGGTAGACCACAAACAAATCAAGAATCGGTATAACGTTATATTTGGTATTTTTCAAATATATTATATCTGGTGGGCTATCATAACCCGAGGTCGGCTGTTGTATCTGGTGGACTATCAGACCCCGAGGTCGGCTGTTGTGTCTGGTGGACTATCATACCCTGATACTGGCTGTTGTGTCTGGTGGACTATCATATCCCGAGATTGGCTGTTGTATCTGCTTGACTATCAGACCCCGAGATTGGCCTTGGATCTGGAGGAGTGACTGGTGGACTATCAGACCCCGAGGTCGGCTGTTGTGTCTGGTGGACTATCACACCCCGAGGTCGGCTATTGTGTCTAATGGATATCAGAACCCGAGGTTGGCTGTCGTGTTTGGTGGACTATCAGACCCCGAGGTTGGCTGTTTTGGCTGATGGACTATCAGACCCCGAGATTGGCCTTGGATCTGGTGGAGTGACTGGTGGACTATCAGACCCCGAGGTCGTCTGTTGTGTCTGGTGGTCTATCAGATCCCGATATTAGATGTTATGTCTGGTGGTCTTTCAGATCCCGAGATTGGCTGTATCTGCTGGACTATCAGATCCCGAGACTGGCCGTGTATCTGGTTGAATTACTATTTGAGTATCAGACCCCGAGGTCGGCTGTTGTGTCTGTCGACTATCAGACCCTGATGTCGGCTGTTGTATCTGGTGTACTTTGAGAATCCATGGTCGGCTCTTGTGTCTGGTGGACTATGAGACATAGAAGTTAGCTATTGTGTCTAGTGGACTAGTAGACCCCAAGGTCGGCTGTTGTGTCTCGTGGACTATCAGATCACGAGATTGACTTTTGTATCGGGGGTGCTATCATACCCCGAGGTCGGCTGTAGTATCTTGTGGACTATCCGATCCCGAGGCTTGCTACGCATCTGGTAGACTATCAGACCTCGAGGTCGGATATTGTGTCTGGTGGACAATCATACCCCGAGGTCGGGAGGTCTCAAGATTGGCCACTCATTCAGAGGAAGTTGTAGCTTGGGAAAAATCTAGAACGACCGCAAACTCAACAAAAAAGGCAAATGAGGGGGCTGCTAGGATGCTGCGGGATTATTTAAAGGAAAAGAAACAGCCGATAGTTTTCAGTTCTTTCCCAAAGAACGACCGGATGAGCTCCTCAGCCGCTTTTATCTGGACGTCCGTTCCAAGGAAGGGGAGTACTATAAATCGGCAATGCTTGAGTGTCTGCCACATTGAATTAACAGATATTAGAAATATCTACCTATCATAAAGGACACACCCTTTGAAAATGCTAATTAGAGTTTCAAAACGGCAATGCAAGAGTTGAAAATAGAAAATAATAATATAGGCATACCGGTTAACAGTAACACATCAGCTTAGGGTTAGGGTTAGGGTTAGGGTTAGGGTTAGGGTTAGGGATAGGGTTAGGGTTAGGGTTCGGGTTAGGGTTAGGGTTAGAGTTAGGGTTAGGGTTAGGGATAGGGTTAGGGTTAGGGTTTAGGTTAGGGGTTAGGGTTAGGGTTAGAGACTTTGCGACTCGATATCAATTTCTTGAAAATTGAATTAAATATAGGAGGTTAAGTAATGAAATTAATGGGGTTAGGGTTAGGGTTAGGTTTAGGGTTAGGGTTAGGGTTTGGGGGTAGGGGTTAGGGTTAGGGTTAGAGTTAGGGTTAGGGTTAGGGCTAGGGTTAGGGTTAGGGTTGGGGGTTAGGGTTAGGGTTAGGGCTATCATCCCTTTGGCTTTTGCGACTCAAAATGGGGCTTTTGTGACTTGCGCAGAAAATATTTTGCGACTCAAGATATTTTGCGACTCAAGTTTTTGGTATTTTGCGACGGAGTGGTATTTTGCTACTTAAAGTTGGTACTTTGCTACTCAAAGTTGGTATTTTGCGACTGAGTGGTATTTTGCTACTTAAAGTTGGTACTTTGCTACTCAAAGTTGGTATTTTGCGACTGAGGGTGGGCTTTTGCGACCGGGCTTTTGCGACTCATGGGTGGCTCACTGTAAACATTGCAAGTACTTACGCAAAGAGGGAAATTTCAAAAAATGAATTTTTATTTGCTTCATATATTCTATGTGATTTGGAAATCTGAACGGAATCTCCCGAGATGGGTTGTTTTGTCCACTTTATTTAGGAAATAAGTCACCATTATGGTACTTTTCGACCCGAGCTTTTTATGACATAATTTGGCGTTAGTTAAAACAAAAATTCAACAAAAGTTTATATTGAGAGATAGAATTTCTCACGATATATTGGACATAAGAAAAACAATCGNAGATGAAAAACGACAAAATCGAAACCCATGGATTTTTAATGTAGAGACTTTATTCAAGGCTTTGCGGGGGTAAAAAGGTTAAGAAAAATGTATGAATCATTCAGATAGGTCTAAAATTCACTGAAATATAAGGCTTTGCAATTATGTGACGAAAGTTTTTGACCCATCAGGGTTAGATGTAAAACATATTTTTTTCTTTCTCTGTGATGTTATAATGTGTAATTATATACTTCTAAAGACTTTTGTCACAAAACTTTGTCAAAAAAAGACGTTAAAAACCTAACCCTACGATATGCAATTATGTGACGAATTCAGCCTAGGTATATGCATGAGGTGAAAATATGTTAAAAAAAATAATGTTTAAACTTTCATATTTTTTAAATGTAGTAC